TTTCCGTATCGTCATTTTTCGTCACTACCTCCATGTTCCGGGAGTGGGTAATTTGCGCGCTTGCTGTTTTCCTTGGATGTGGTAGCCGTTTCTCAGACTTCCTCCCCGGAATCGAACCCTGATTTCCCGTTACCCGTAACAACCATGATATTGATAGTAACTACTATCATAACATGAAACTAAAAAGTAAAAAATAAATATAGTTAAAAAAACTAAAAAAACACGCTTTTAAAGCACATCGAACTAAAAAGTTAAAAATAATTTTTAAAATAATTATGAACAAAAAATACTAGTTTTATTGTGATAAAAGCGTGGGTGCTTTGTGTCATATTTTTCGTATATTGAGCGTCCCACGCTTTTATCACAATAATACTAGTATTTTTTGTTCATAATTATTTTAAAAATTATTTTTAACTTTTTAGTTCGATGTGCTTTAAAAGCGTGTTTTTTTTAGTTTTTTTAACTATATTTATTTTTAATCCATTTTTCTACTTGTTCACTCATGAATGTTCGATCAGGTTCAGTAACTCTATAAGGCTTGCACTTAATAGGCTTATTATCTGTCAAATTAATTTTCATTTGTAAATTAGGAAACTCGCCAATTTCGTTCTCTGGATCGGAAAGAACGTTTCTGAAACTGTCCAAAATACTTTGCAGTTTTATATTTCGATCTTTGGTTAAATATGTATTATTATATTTTTCTGACTCTTCACATTTTATTTTGTTTTCTTTAACTTTATTACATTTTGAAATCAGTGGTTCTGAAGAAAAGCGTGATTCTACAATGCAACCTATAAAGGAATCATTTGCTTTAACACATCCGAATTCTTGAGTAGACGTAGGCGTAGTCATGCAAATCGCTCCATTTGGTTCTATTATCATGGTGGCATGTACTGCTGACTGTCAGTCACGTCCAAGTATCATGGCTATTGGTAACGATTCACATAATCCAACTTTTGGCATTATATAATCTATTCTATCTACTTCAATTCTTAATGATATCCATCCGCAAGGTGTACAATCACCATCTGGTGTATCATATGCTCCATCTTGCCAAGGATGTATAATAGTATTTTCTGGTATAAAACATTTTCTCAAAAGTGTTATACAAGAACCATTATCTGGTAATGCATCTATTGTTAAGTTGCCATTGATGGTCACTGGAATCTGAGATACTTTTGGAGTTGAAGTATAATTGTATTTTTGTAAACAATTTATACTTTTGTTTTTAAAACTCACACCTTTTTTCTCATTTTCTTCAGTTTTAATGGGTGTATTATCTGATGTTGATTTATTTATATTCAACAAATTTCCTTTATCTTTATTATTTGCTTTTTCAGATTTACAATTATAACTAATATGTCCCTTTTTTTTACAGATAAAACAAATTTGTTCTTCTTTTTTATCAACTGTTGGGTTAAAGCGATGGATTTGTTTTGATTCTTTAGTACATTCAATATCTTTTAATGTATAGACGTTTGGCTTGTTTGTACTTATTTTGAGTATAGTGTCTAAAGGAATTGCATGGTCAATCAATTCTTGAACAGAACAACACATTGCTATAGCAATGTATATAATGTATATAATGTATATAATGCATTACTATAGCAAGTGGAACTGCCCACGTGTTATCAATGATCCCCTCTAATACTAGTGAAACACTATCTGATTGTTGCATTTTGACGGGTGCTTTTTCTATAATAGCATCTTTATCAAAAATATATTCTACTATTGGTTCATCTGCTCGTAAAATACGTTGCTCTTGGAACATAATAAAGTCGGAAAAAGACATTTTACCTTTAAATCTTTCAGAGATTTTAGCTTCGATGCGAAGCTGAGAAGGTATTGATTTTACTAAGATGTGTTTTTTTTTTTTTTGTGTCTCTTACCACTTTTTCTCAGCTCTCACCGAACCGATTTCTTTCAATGATACGTCAAAAGATCACAAATCGTATCTAGTCGAAGACATTACCCTCAAAAATTGAAAAAAAATTCCCTCGTTCCCCGTAAATGGGGGAAACCTCCAAAAAAATTACAAATTTAAAAATCGCTAATTTTCGAAATTTTTTCAATTTTTTTTACTAAAAACTGCCGTAACTTTTTTAAAAATNAATCGCTAATTTTCGAAATTTTTTCAATTTTTTTTACTAAAAACTGCCGTTTTACTAAAAACTTTTTTAAAAATAAACATATAAATATATATATTTTTTTAAACTAAAACCTTAGATATTTTCCTTTTATTTGGTATATTTTTTTTGAAAATTTAACACTTAACCTGCTCAT